GGTTCACTCTCTTTTTAAAAAAAATATTTTTATTGATTTCAGAGAGGAAGGGAAAGGGGGAGAGAGACACATCCATAATGAGAGAGAATCATTGATCGGCTGCCTCCTCCATGTCCCACGCTGGGGATCAAGCCTGCAACCCAGGCATGTGCCCTGACCAGGAATCGAATCATGACCTCCTGGTTCATAGGTCAATGCTCAACCATTGAGCCATGCCGGCTGGGCTCTCATTTTTCTTGATGCTATATGCTTGCCAATCTTGTTTATCCTTTCAAAGAACCAACTCTTAGTTTCATTGATCTTTTCTATTGTTTTTTAAGTCTCTATTTTGTTTATTCTACTCTGATCTTTATTTTCTTACTTTGGGTTTTGTTTGTTCTTTTTCTAGTTCCTTTAGGTGTAAAGTTAGATTGTTTTTTTGGAATTTTTCCTGCTTCCTGTGGTAGGCTTGTTTAGTTATGAACTTTCCCCTTAGAATTGCTTTTGCTGAATCCCATACTTTTTTTGTTTAAATCTTCACCCGAGGATATTTTTTTCCATTGATTTTTAGGGAGAGGGAAAGACAGAGAGAAACATTGATATGAGAGACACACATTGATTGGTTGCCTCCTGCACAAGCCCCAACCAGGCCCTGGGTCCAGGAAGGAGCCTTCAACCAAGGTACATGCCCTTGACTGTAATCAAATCTGGGACTCTTTGGTCCATAGGCTGACGCTCTATCCACTGAGCCAGACTGGCTAGGGCTGAGGATATTTTTATCCACTGATTTTTAGAGAGTGGAAGTGAGGGAGGGATGGGGAAAGATGAGAGAGAGAAACTTTGATGTGAGAGAGACATCGATTGGTTGCTTCCCTTACTTGCCCCGACTTGGGTCAGAGATCAAACCTGATAACTAGGTACATGCCCTTGACCTGGAATCAAACCTGCAGGTTGACACTCTATCCACTGACCTATACCAGCCAGGGCTCGTAAGTAACATTTTAGCTCATAACCTTTTCTTTACTCTTCCCCCACTTAAATATGCTTAAGTGCCTCCTACTTGATTTTTCAGCTTTAAATGATATCCTTCGACTCAAGTTATTGCATATGAAGCAGTCGGCTAGTTTATTCTACTTTCTACCTTCCTTCCCCCTTCACTTACCAGTTTTTCTTTGGTTGTATTGTTTCTACATTGGCAGAGAACATTTACATTCTATTCTATCAGTCTTGTCCCTGCCTTTTTTAAAAAAAATATATCTTTACTAGAGGCCCGATGCACAAAATTCGTGCAAGAGTAGGCCTTCCTCCCCCTGGCTGCTAGCACTGGCTTCCCTCTGGCACCCAGGACCTGGGCTTCTCTCTGGCTGCCCGCAGGCACCTGGGAGCTGGGCTTCCCTCGCAGCCCCGGCTTCATCCAGAAAGTCGTCTGGAAGGATGTCTGGTCTAATTAGCATATAACGCCTTTATTATTATAGATTGATTTCAGAGAGGAAGGGAGAGGGAGAGAGAGATAAGAAACATCAATGATGAGAATCATTGATTGGCTGCCTCCTGCACTCTCCCTACTGGGGATTGACCCTGCAACCCAGGCATGTGCCCTTGATCAGAATCGAACCCAGGATCCTTCAGTCCACAGGCCAATGCTCTATCCACTGGGCCAAACCAGCTAAGGCCCTGTTTTAATTCTTAGTTCACAGTTTAATATATTCTTACTATTAATACTTTTCCAAAGTCTGCCCAATTATTTCTTGGTTGGCTAAACTCGGTTTGATTGATCTTAGGACAAAGTTTTTGCATGGTCAAAACATCTTAAGAGCAGCTTGGTTGGATGGAAATATCCTTGTCTTATACTCTTTCCTTGAATATGTATGGATGGTAGCCCCCAGGTCTCTGGCATTCAGTGTTGTTACTGAAAAGTGTGATGCCAACGTGGTTTCTTCTTTGTTATGCCGTGGTCTTTTGCATGAGTGTTCAAGGTATTCTTTGTTTATCTTAAAATTATAGGTGTTGATGTCAATTTTCTGGGCCCATGTGTTTGTTTTAGGCATATAATGTGCCCTTTCAATATGTAGATTCAAGTCTTCTTTTATCTCAGAAAGTTTTTATGAATTATGATTAGACCAGAATAAGTTCCATTGTTTAGTTTCTTCTTTGGGGACTCTACCAATAGGATACTGGATCTCTTATCACTTTCTACTGAATTCTTTTGGACATTCTTACTTCTGCCTTCTTGTCTTTGCCTTTTTCATCTCTATCCTTTATGTCCCTTATTGTGCTTTTATGAACACATTCTCCTTGCAATTTAGTTCACATTTCTGAAATGATTTCTTTTCCTTCTACTTCTTTCCCATGTTGTACCCGTTCCATTTCACATCCTCCTTTGTCTGGCCGTCTCTTCTTAGGGCACTCTTTCTGCTTTGTGGTATTTCTCCCTAGTTTTGACTGCTTTATTAAGTTTTAGCTACCTCCTGCCTATCTACTTACCTACCTGCCTATCAATCCACTTTGGAGTATAGGTTTCAATTTTTATCTCCTTTGTGGCAACACTTTGTGATGCATTTCATCATGTACAGGAGAGTTATACTTCTACTTTTCTTCCATTTTCTGAAGGTGTTTTTGTATGGAGGGCACTGGATTCCTCTGAGGTACGATGAGGTTCCTAAGAGGGTGGGGGCATGGGTTGGTTGGGCCAGGGACACCCTCCACCTCTCTTGAAGCCTCTTCCCTGGCTCTCGGAATCCAGCCAGGTCGTGAATGGCTTCCACCTGCAGCTCCGAGTTTCCTAGATCTCCTCCTAGCCCTGACTTCCAAGGGGATGCCCTCACTTTTACAAGTCAGATTTTGCTGAAGTTTTGTGAGATCACCTCTGGATTTTCTCAAGCCTTTTCCAGGTCTCTTCACTTCCCCAGAGATTCTGCCCTGTCTAACTGAATCTGACTCACAGGTCTCCTCTCTTGGTGGCTGGGTGGTCCCTTTTACTATTCCTATTCAGATGACCAATGATGAGATGGATTCCCAAGACAAGGCCACCCACTCTGAAGATCAGACTTTCTCTTTTAGAAATAAAAGCCAACCAGAAAAAACAAAAACCGATAATTGCTTATTACTACTCATAATACTTCTAGGCAGAGTCTTACCACTAACAGTATGGTGTATTTCTTCTAGCCTTTCTGATGCAGAGTTGAGATATTGTTTTGTATACTGCTTTGGATATTGTTGAATTTTTTTGTTGTTTCTTAATCCTCACCCAAGGATATATTTTTCCATTGATTTTTAGAGAGGTGGAAGGGAGTGGGGGAGGGGGAAAGAGAGAGAAAGAGAAATACTGATGTGAAAGAGACATTGATTGGTTGCCTCTTGCATGTGCCCCTACCAGGGCCGAGGATCGAACCTGTAACCCAGGTACATGCCCTTGACCAGGAATCAAACTCACAACCCTTTGGTGTACGGGCCAACGCTCTAACCACTGAGTTATGCTGGCCAGGGCTTGATATTGTTGAATTTTTTAAATTGTAAAATATATTATTTAATTAATTTCCCAAACAGTTATTGAATTTATTGAATACTATGAATCCAATGCTATTTGGATTCTAGGTGCTTGGGATATATCAGTGAACAAAAATAGAAAAAGATACCTGTCCTTGTGGAGTTTATAGTCTGGTCAGGGGAGACAGACAATAACCAATAAACATAATAAATAAATTATATAGTCTGTTAGAATGTTGTCTTTGGAAGAAACAATAAAGCAACGTAATGAGAATCAGGAGTGTGAAAGTATAGATGACCACCAATTAAAAATAGTCGAGGTATGCCTCATTGGTAAGGTGACACATGGATATTTGGGGGAAACATAAAACATATATGAACAATTTTATTAATAGTAACAAAGAAAATACCACATAACTATCATCCAATGTAATACATAGAATATTTAAAAATATATTTTTTATTGATTTCTAATTTTACAATTAATGCACCAAACAGGTTACTTTTGCCCGTTTTAAACTTTATATAAATGCAATCATATTTATAGGTACTCATTTGTGCTGGGCTTCTTTCACTCAATATTTATGAAATGTAGGAAAAATAAAATCTATTCATTGTATTAGGACACAGATTTGGTTCTGAGAAATTTTAAGTTAAATATTGTTTAACTTTTTAAAAGTAAATAATTCAGGACTAAACCTTACGTTCCCTAAAATAAAACAGACAAATGCACAACATACTATGTTCACTCAATACTATGAGTATTTACACACAGCCAGCCAATGTTTCGATTTGCTTTTCTTGGTTTGTTAATTTTCCAACATATCAAACGAATGTCATTACTTTATTTATTCACTTATCAGACCTTTTTAATCATTGTCCTATATTACATGCACTTGAGCCCAGAGGTCCTGGGTCTTATTCCCCATCTACCCAGGCCCCTGGACTGCTGGTCCTCTCCCTGCCCCTGGCCAGGAGAAATCGGTGTGCCTGATGAGGCTGTGGAAGCAGGCTGAGCGACCAGCAGTCAGAATGCAGACGATGGGGAAGAGAATGGTCAAGTATGGGAGGTGGCCAAGAGGAGGAGAGTCAGTACAATGAGAACGGCTTTCTTGGGCAGAGAAACTGGAGGGTGCAAGAGAGGAGTAGGTCAATGCTACCCCCCAACTGAACCAACAACTGAACTAGGTTTGATCATAAAGAACATTAACTTAAGGATATAGCCTGAAGATTTTTCTGTATCTTTTATTTTTTAAATATATTTTTATTGATTTCAGAGGGGAAGGAAGAAGGAGAGTGAGATGGAAATATCAATGATGAGAGGGACTCATTGACCAGCTGCCTCCTGCATGCCATGCCTCCTACTGGGATTGAGCCTGAAGCCCTGATGTGTCAAGACTGGGAATTGAACTGTGATCTTCTGGTTCATATGTTGATGCTCAACCACTGAGCCACACCGAACGGGCTCTGTAGCCTTTAAAAAAAACAAACAAACCACATCTGCATTGTATCTTACTGTGCAGATGAGCTTCAGTTTATTCAATGAGCGGAAAGATGCTACCTCTGGAGAGGTGCCGTTTCAGCCAGCAAAACCACGTGCTGCTGTGGAAACCTGTACCCAGGAAGCCTCTGTTCCCATCTGAAAAAGTAATCTTTAAGGCTAAATGATCACTTACCTTGACTTTTTCCTCTAACCTTCCCATGCGAATATTGCCTTTAATAATTTTGTCGAGAACTCCATGTTTCTCATTTTCTAAACATTTGGCCTAAGGAGAAAGGTGAAAAGAAAAATAATGGGCTCTCAGTTTTACAGAAAAATTAAAAGAATAAAAAATTCTGCAAAAAATATTACTACTCTCAAATGCTCTTCATTCTGACATTTGTTTTGGCTCAACCCCGCCTGCCCCCACCTGGATTCCCACTCCCTGTGTGAGGGCTGTGGGCAGAACTTGGCCAAGAGCTGAGGAGGGGCAAGAGTGGAACACTATGCGGGTTGTCCCTCCTGGGCACAAACAGGAGATCTGTGCCCCCCAGGACCAGGGAATGGGAGAGGTTGCAAGGGTTCTAACACATTTCTCTATCCTTATGGAATATACCAGGGGTCCTCAAACTTTTTAAACAGGGGGCCAGTTCACTGTCCCTCAGACCGTTGGAGGGCCGGACTATAGTTTAAAAAAAAACTATGAACAAATTCCTATGCACACTGCACATATCTTATTTTGAAGTAAAAAAACAAGACGGGAACAAATACAATATTTGTATTTGCATGTGGCCTGCAGGCCGTAGTTTGAGGACCCCTGGAATATACCATTCCTTCAATCATATCCAAGGAGTAAGTGCCAAGATGCAAATAAACTTTAACTTGATTTATTTGAATAATTACAAAATTAAGGAGAATATGAATGCACAATGCTTTTCTCTAAACAAATGGGACAGGCAGTATTTCCAAGGAGGGATATAATTTGAAGCTGAATGATTCATATTAATATCTACATGGGACATGAACTACTATGCACTATAAATTATTTCAAATCATTTAAAAATTATAAAACTGAGCATTCCTTCTAGAGTAGACTAGTAGCGGCAATGTGATTATTAGAAAGGAAAAATAAAACGAAGACAGTTATTTAACTTGCCACAAGTCACACAGAAAACCCACCCCAACGGCAGGATTAGAAATTAAGATGCCAATATCAATACAAAGGGCTCTCATAAGGCCCAAGAGACCAGGAAGAGGGAAGGTGGGAGTGTATGGGTCACAGCCCCAGGGCAGTGCAAAGGCAGCCAGTACCACCCCTGAACCCCTGCTAGAGGGGGCTGGCCTTGGGGCTCCCCAGGGGAAGGACCCTGCAGGGTTAAGGGGACAGCAGTGTCTGCGTGTACAGAGATCCCTCATGGTGGGTGGGCCAGGGCATATGAGAGCAGCTTCCCCCATGTCTGAGGGGTCTGAAGACTCTAACTCAGGCCTGGATTTCAGGCCATAATAACCAAGGTCAGGGCAGGAGGAGAAAACACATTTCATTATGTCATGATTTATAACTTTAAGTATTTGAATACACAGTATGTGGCCTCCATTTATATTTCTATCCTAAGCTCATAAATATGAGGGGTGGACCTAAGGGTCAGGGAGGATCTTAACTTCATCATGGAAGCCTGGAATGCTCTCTGGCCCATGTGGGCTGGAGGAACCTGCGTGTCCTACCCGTGCCTCCTGCATGCCCCCTACCGGGGATCGAGCCCACAACCAGGGCACATGCCCTAACCAGGAATCGATGCTTAACCACTGAGCCATACTGGCCAGGCTGGCTTTGTCTTTACAGTGGCAATGACATGGGACAGCCAGGTCCCCATGAATGTCTGCTAGATAAATGGGCTTGTTTGGCAGTTTTTTTCAATAAGCCCTCTGTTTGCTTCTTGATATACCAGTGGGTAAGCCCAGGAGGCAGAGCAGAAGGGGAAACAGGGAAGCAACTGATTAATGTTTCTCTCTCACATCAGTGCTTCTCTCTCTCTCCTTCTCCCTTCCTCTCTAAAATGAAATTTAAAAAATTTTTTAAAAGATCAACATTTCCCCCCAAGATTTGGATACTATTTATATTTCTTCTTATATAAACAATAGCTAAAACCTCCGTGCATTTTCCTATGGAGGAACTTAATATCTTTCTAGCAAATGGGAGTAAGCCTGTGACACATCCTGACAGACTCTCCACACTTCATTCACCAGAGAAGGGCCAAGTTATTTCCAACTTTGCCAATTTCTGACTCTCTCAGAAAGTCCTCAAGTCTCTTTTGTAATGACATCCATTAAACTGTTACTTCTGACCCTACACTACCAACATTGCTTAAATAAGCAATGTGTTCAATGTAGAAAAATCATAAAATGCAGATAAGTAAAATGATTTTTAAAATTTTCTTGTAATTCTACCACGATTTTAAAATATCTCTTATATTTCCACCACTTGAATATCTAACTCACTGAAACATTTGGCGGTAATTCCTATGACTTGCATAGCATCTATTTTATTTCACTGTACATCCTATTGTAGACATCTTTTACAATCATTGCGGAGATACCAAGGATCATGTCCATGGCATCACTCCTGCTGGCTGTGTAGAGCTTCATCTAGGGCAGGGGTCCTCAAACTTTTTAAACAGGGGGCCAGTTCACTGTCCCTCAGACCGTTGGAGGGCCAAACTATAGTTTAAAAAAAAACTATGAACATATTCCTATGCACACTGCACATATCTTATTTTGAAGTAAAAAACCAAAACGGGAACAAATACAATATTTGTATTTGCATGTGGCCTGCGGGCCGTAGTTTGAGGACCCCTGATCTAGGACCACCAATAATTTCCTCCCTTCCCTTCCTGAGGACTGGTGTTGTTAGAAACAAGGGGATGAATATCACTGCCCTTTAAGCTGTGTCCTTAGGATGAACTCTATTTAACCTGTCTATGATTCTTATGTTTCTTCAAACAAGGAATATATTAAGTCAGTTTTACAGAGAATATAAAGGTGTATTTGTGTGCGTAATACACCCGATAACTACTGTTCCCATTTAGTTAAATGGACTAACTCCATTAGTTTACCTTTTAAAATATAATTTGCCATTATTTAAAAGTTTGGGTTATTTGACTTTTAAAAAGGTTTTTCCCCCATGATTGAAAGATAAAATTTTGGAGAATTTGAAATTTTGCTGTTGAAATTTAAAAAGATGAAACTGTTTATAGATAATTTTGTAAAACAAAAAATATACTCCTGAAATTATGTTTGCATATAAACTTACAGTGTATGGAAGTAACTGAGGAGACTTACCAAATACATAAGATTGTCACGTTCCTGAGTGATATTCTCCGCCAGGCCAACAAGATTTGCCAGGTACTTATGAGCAGACATTTCATTCTCCATGGCTTTTTCAACCTGTTTTTTGAGGACGTCAATTTTTTTTTGAGATCTCCTAAAGAGTTCCCCCAAATGGTGGAATAAAAAACTAGTTAACCTGGATGGCTAGAGCATAATGAATATCTGTATTATGAAAACAGCAAGTTATTCTTCAGTGACCAAAATCTGTAAGTTTTAAGGTGAGAAATGGTAACTGAATTTAATTTTAAACTCAAAATAATTATTGACTCAAAGTGAAGCCAATAGAAATCACAAAATGCTTTGACACAATTAATAAGCTAACAATATTTTATTCTATTAATTTTTAGGTTCATATTCTAAAAGGTATTTTTGAAAAGGAATTCAGTATCCCAAAGTAGACTTTTAGGAAAAGGTTAGAAAAGAACTAGAAGTTTCATAGTCTTAGAATCATCTTATAATTCTCAACAATAAGTGAACTACCAGAGGCCCAGTGCACGAAATTCATGCACTTGCGGGGGGAGGCCCCAGCCCAGCCTGTGCCCTCTCGCAGTCTGGGAGCCCTTGGGGGATGTCCAACTGACGGGGAGCCAGTTCACGGGGAGCGGGCCTAAGCCGTCAGTTGGACATCTTTAGCACTGCCGTGGAGGTGGGAGAGGCTCCCGCCACCACCACTGTGCTCACCAGCCATGAGCCCGGCTTCTGGCTGAGTGGCACTCCCCTCTGGGAGCACACTGACCACCATGGGGCAGCTCCTGCGTTGAGTGTCTGCCCCCTGGTGGTCAGTGCACATCACAGAGACCAGTTGCTCCACTGTTGGATTGATTTGCATATTAGCCTTTTATTATATAGGATAGACTAGAAAAATGCTGGTCAACAGAAAAGCTTTTACTGTACTTATATTCTTTTCTATCTTATAGCTAATATTAGAAAAAGAAAAAGAGAGACTATTTTTAATTGTCTTTTTTTAATGACTAAAAAGCTTAAGAAAAAAATATATAAAGACCTATTTATTTTCTGTGCCCTTTCGAGTTCAGCTTCCAGCGTTTTGTTTTTAGCTGTCAAGTTGTTCTTCTCTAACAGCAAACTCTTCTTCTGCACTTGCAGGACCGTCAACTTTTCCATCAACTCTTCCATTTCAGCACTTTCTTTCTCATCTTCCTTCTGCAACCGGCTGATGGACAAAAAACATCACAGGCTTGTATCCAGTACACAGAGGCTACAATGAAGCAGCCACTTGCCAGGCAAGTGATAAGCAGCCCAAACCCCCAGCCCCTGGTGGGTCATTTGGAAGGTCTCTGCACAGCATCTTCCCACCCATCCTTCGAGGACCTGGGATGGAGCTCCTAGAGGATAGGAGAGAGAGTGTGGCTGGGAAAAGAATTCTTTTATTAAAACAATTTTTTAATAGATTTTTATTGATTTTTAGAGGGGAAGGGAAAGGGAGAGATAGAAACATCAATGATGAGAGGCATCATTGACCAGTTGTCTCCTGCATGCCCCCTACTGGGGATTGAGCCCACAACCCAGGCATGTGCCCTTGACTAGAATTTAACCCAGAACCCTTCAGTCTGCAGGCTCTATCCACTGAGCCAAACTATGGTTAAAAACTTTTTTTTAACTTAGAGAAAAAGGGAGGAACAGAGGGAGGGAAAACAGGAGGGAGGGAGGGAAGGAGGGAGGGAGAGAGAGAGAGAGGAAGATATAGAGGGAGAGAGAGAGGGAGAGAGAGAAACTTCAATTGGTTACCTCCTGTATGTGCCCCAAGAGGGGATTGAACCCGTGACCTAGGTATGAGTCCTGACCAGGAATCAAACCTGAAACCTTTTAGTATACAGGATGATGCTCCAACCAACTGAGTGACACTGCCCAGAGCCAATTGTGACCCCTCTCTTTTTTTTTCTTTAATGTTTTTATTGATTTCAGAGAGAGGTAGATGGAGAGAGGGATAGAAATATCAATGATGAGAGAGAATCATTGATTGGCTGCCTACTGGATGCCCCCTACTGGGGATCTAGCCCACAACCTGGACATGTGCCCTGACTGGGAATCGAACCATGATCTTCTGGTTCATGGGCTGAAGCTCAACCACTGAGCAACACCAGACAGGCTGTGATCAGTTTTTACTGTTTTGTGCCCTAATCTCGTCACTTAAAAATTTACTGTGGTGAGAGAAACCAAGATGGCAACATAGGTAAACACCTGAAATTGCTGCCTCGCACAACCACTTCAAAAATACAACCAAAAGACAAAACGGACATCATCCAGAACCACAGGAAAGCTGGCTGAGTGGAAATTCTACAACTAGAAGGAAAAAGAAAAGCACTCTGAGACTCAGAGAAGGTGCGGAAGTAAAGTGCAGAGGTACGAAGGCACACGTGGAAAGGGCTGGCAACTGAGGACGGGGTTGTCTTTTTCAATCGGGAGGGATACACAAGCTCCTGACGGCCCTGACTCCAGTTCCGGGCGAGTCTCTGGGGACCTAGACTCATACGGGGAGAAACTGGACTGTCTGGCAGTGGGCAGAATTCGAGGGCGGCTTTCTCTCAGAGGTGCTTGCAGCGATTACAGGGGGACACTGAGACCAGGGGGCTCTTAGGGCAGGACTGAGAATCAGCCATAGCTGTTTGCTCTGCCCTGTTGATTCCCTGAGACCCTGCCCCACCCAAGCTGTGCATAGAGGCTTTTGCATATGAATGATCTGGCCCTTTGCAATCTAAAATTACCTAAAAAACTGCAGCTGGGTCAAAGAGACCCAGAACTTCCAAAAGAAGGCCCAAGGCCCCACAGCAGCTTGCGTTGCTTCACAGCTGGGCCTCATCTGGGCACCTCCAAATCCCAACTAAGAAGAGGAATCTGCAGATCTCTCCGTAGATCCTGCTGGGTAGCCTCAGACAGAGGCTAAATTAGCACCTCCTTAGAGATCCAAGTGCCAGTGTTCCCAGTGGTCAGAGTGGGACCTGACCATCCAAATTACAACTCCTCAGATCCATAAGGGACACACTCAGGAGGCAGACTCAGTGAGCACCAAAGCCCCACTGAAGCAAGTCTTGCCCCAGAAGGGTGTCTTCAGCACAGAAGTTTTCCCACCATAGACACAGCTGATTCTCACAGCCAATTGGCCTGGAGGTCAATTCCTCCCAGTGATAACTACAACAATCAAGGCTTAACTACAACAAGACTGTGCACAAAGCCCACAAGGGGGTGCACCAAGAGTGTCTACCTCAGGTAATTGGGACACTTAGCACAGAAAGGCACTCTATCGACACAGCGAAGCATAAAAAATGCCGAGACAAAGAAACAGGACACAAACGACAGAATTGGAGGAAAGCAAACTGCTGAATATAGAGTTCAAAACCACACTTTTAAGGTCTTTAAAGAACTGTCTAGAAGCTGCCAATAAATGTAGTGAGATCTTCAAGAAGACTGGTGAGACTGCTGATAAATGTAGTGAGATCTTCAAGAAGACTGGTGAAACCCTCGATGTTGTGATAAAGAACCAACTAGAAATTAAGCATACACTGACTGAAATAAAGAATATTATACAGA